CAAGTATTTGTCATATTATTCTCTACTTTTAAAATACGTTTTAAGTATTCCAGAATTTTTTAATGAATTTTTAAAATTTTAGTTGCAGAAAACCAAAATGTCCGAAATAAATAAAACCTAGTAGGCTTGGAAGCAGCTACATTTGAGTAAAAGGGCATAATGCGTGGTCAGCAAAAAGGAAAAAAACCTTGTTGCTAGGATTGTTTGGTTGATGTCCTTCACTGGATAGGTATGATTTGGATCAAAGGAGAAAAGGAACCAGCCCTTTAACAAGGCCCTGTCTGCTTGGACTGTTGTCGCTCAGCAGGGCAGGGAAGGCAGGTGCAGCAAAGGTGCTCGCAATGGTCTCTAGGCAGGCATGGAAGTCACAGGCATGCATGTTTGTCTCTGTGGCACACCCAACACACCTGTTATACCGGAGCCCAATTTGGTAACGCTCATGGTGCCAGAGCTGGAAGCGATGGTGCAGACCAATGCTATTTTAGAGGCAAAAAAACACCACCTCGATTTGAAGTCCTCGGGTTGTGTCCGCGCCCCCCCAACGCCCTGGCGCCTCCGCCCAGTGGGCTCATCTTTGCCCCTGGAGTCCGGCGTTTCCAGCCGCTGGGGCAGCCGCCTGACCGTCACTGCCTTTCCCACAGTAGGAGGACATCTCTGTGGGTGTGAGGACACTGTTTTGCTGACCCGGTCAGCGCCATCCTGAACATCTTGAGGATGCAAGCAGGTGGCTTTTTCAGTCCAAGTCTCCTGAGCTCCAAGAGACCTCAGCCAACCGGAGGTGACTGAGGAGACGCGCCCTGTCCTCAGAGGCCTCTTTTAGTCCTCTCTTCCGCCTGGTGGCCCCTTTCCTACCCACCCATATTCCTATGTTCTCTCCCTCCTTTCTTCCATCAAACCTGAACTCAGGAGAGAATCTGATAAACTCTGAAAGAAGCCAAATGTTAGTTACGATTCAAAGTTCTGGCTCAATTCAACAAGGTTGATCTCAGATTAAAGCAATTTCCACCCCCCCACACACACACACATTAAGATAACTTTCCAGTTTTCTATGAGTATAAAAATAACAAATATAATTTTTTTACTTAATATGGAAAATTTAAGGAAGAAACTGGAATATAAGGAACAACCTGATTGTCCATCGATAGGGGAAGAATTGAAAAAATTATAATACATATTACAAAATATAATGCAAGTCTTAGAAGAATGATGGATTGATACATATTGACCAAGATGATTATAATATATAATAAGTAGGAAAAAATTTATAAAATATGTCAATATCTTGTCATTTTTATAAAAAGCAAACAAAAAACTATGTGCATATGTTTATAAAAGCTTAGAAAAACTACAGTGGAATCCACACGCTATTAAAAATGGTAGTGATAACTGCTGGTGAGAGAGGCTGTAACTGTTTTTTCTTTAATTTTGAATTTATAATTTTTTCTAAAGAAGAGGGTGTGGAGTGGGAGAAAGAGGAGATAATTTGCCTTAAACACATCACTCAGAAAGAATCACTGCTTTTAAATGATATTTTCCCCGACTTTTATATAAAATGTATGTACACACATATATGTTTACGAAACTATTCATACCACACATACTAAGCTTCCCCCACCCCAGAGTTAATATTTAGCCTTATTTGAGGAAGGCTTTAATATATGGCCTTCCTTCCATGTCAACAAATTCTAATTTTGAATGGCTACAACATATCCTATTGTTTGAGTTACTACAGCTGCCCTCACCAATCCCTCATTGTACGACATTAGTTTCCGCTTTTCCCTGGCACAAACAACTCCAATAAACATCCCTTTACATACATATTTGTACGTTTGACTGTTTACTTAGGACAAATTCGCAGATGAGCAATTCCAGTTCCAGACCTAATGCATTTGAGTTTTGATCCACATTTCCAAACTGGCCTTCTAGAAAGTGTTTCTTTTGTCGTTAGGGTTTTGTTGGTTGGTTGGTTAGTTTTTTAAAATCACACTGCGCTCCCACCGGCCAAGGAAGGGAATGCAGTTTAACGCAGAATTGAAAGATCACAAACTCTCCCGCTGAACTTGAGCAACCCCTTCCCAGGGAAACCGTGGGGCTCCCGGGCGCTTTCAAAGGACGGAAAGGGATCCAGCGAACCCCGAGACCCGCCCCGGGCTGGCGTGGGCGCCCCCTCCGCTCCCCGGGCGCAGAGCTGGGACCCGCAGCGTTTCCAGGGCAGCCGGGGAGCGCAGCCCTACCATCCCGCGGGGGCGTCCGAGCGCCCCGAGCGCCCGGGGGGCGGGGCCAGGCGCGGGCGGGGCCCCTGCCACCCGCCCTCCGGCCGCGTCCCCGCCGGCCCTGCCGACGTGGCGGGGCGGGACCCGCCGGGCGCTCCCGCGCGCACTCGGCCGCCGGAGCGGTAAGAGCCCGGGCGCCCACTCCCCATCCCCTTCCCGCGGCGGGCGGGCGCGGAAGCGCGGGGCGGCGCGGCGGGCGGGGTGGGAGGCCTTACCGCGCGCCCGGTCCGGAGCCGGTCCTGCCCTCTGCGGTGATGAGGAGCCATCGGCAGGGACGGGGCGCCGGGCGCGCCCCGGGTGAAAGCGGCTTGGGGGCGAAGGTCCGCGGAGGCGCGGGCGGCGCGGCCGAGGGCCCTGCGTGGGTGCGGGCGTGTGAGTGTGTGTGTGTGAGTGTGTGTCGCTCCGGGTCCACGCTCATGCACACACCCACACGCCCGCACGCCGGGTCTGCCCCCTCGGCCGGCGTGGACCTCCGCGGAGCCTGCCTCGAACTCCCAAGTATCCCGTCCTGGCACCGAGAAGTCTGAAAAAGTGCCCCGGTGACCGCGTCCGGGTCAGAGGCAGGCGGCAGGGTCCCGAGCCGGGACGGGGCGCGCAGGCAGCAGGTCCGCGCGCGGCGAAGGCCTCCCTGGGGTGGTCCTGCGCTTGGCCTTGAGAGCCGAGCTCGGGCCTCGCCCTCCCAGCCAAGCGCACCGCTCCAGCCCCGCCGACCCGCGCCGCTGCCCGCTCTTCCAGCCCAGCAAACGCCAAGCTGGCGCCACCTCGAGCCGAAGCCCCCGGGTTGTGTCCGCGCCCCCCCAACGCCCTGGCCCCTCCGCCCAGCGGGCTCGTCTTCGCCCCTGGAGTCCGGCGTTTCCAGCCGCTGGGGTCAGCCGCCTGACCGTCACTGCCCTTCCCACAGTAGGAGGACATCTCTGTGGGTGTGAGGACACTGCTTTGCTGACCCGGTCAGCGCCATCCTGAACATCTTGAGGATGCGAGCAGGTGGCTTTTTCAGTCCAAGTCTGCTGAGCTCCATGAGACCTCAGCCAACCCGAGGTGACTGAGGAGACGCGCCCTGTCCTCAGAGGCCTCTTTTAGTCCTCTCTTCCGCCTGGTGGCCCCTTTCCTACCCACCCATATTCCTATGTTCTCTCCCCCCTTTCTTCCACCAAACCTGAACTCAGGAGAGAATCTGATAAACTCCTTACATTGTAAGCTTTAAGCGAAGGAATGGAACTTCAGGGGTGGAATTGGAGGCACAAGTGAGCCTGCGCACAAGGAATTTGAGGGTGGGAGGGGCCTTCCTGAATCTCAGAGATTCGGACCATGTAAGTCACCATTTATTTATAAGACCAGGATTATATCAAATATTGTTTCTTTAATTAATATCAAACACGATATATTTCAGTTCAGTAAATATATGAGGGTCAGAAACCAAGCTAGGTGCTGTTGGTCACAGTCCTGGAGGAAAGACACAGAAGCAAACACTCCGTGTAAATGCAATAGGAGTCCGTGCTGAGTCCCAGAAACATAGGACAGGGAGCGGTTAATGGAGGGGGTGGGGCAAATGAAGGAAAAATTCAGAGTAGGAGGTGACTTCAGATGGGTTTCTAGAGGAATAGGAGTTTGCCAGGCAGCTGGAGGCAGGGCAGCGGGGCAGGGAGGTGTGAAGTCTGGTGGGGCAGCCGCGGAGGGTGTGGTGAGAGCTGGAGTATGAGGGTGCGTGTGCAGGTGTTTACACCCAGTGGATTTTAAACGAGGGGGCAAATTGGTCCCATCTCTGTTCAGGCAGTGGGCTAGGCACATGTGTGTGACAAGCTTCGTAGGAGCTGTTAAACCTGACTCAGAGCCTCTCATCCAGGGTTTTATTCCTGGTCCTTCATTGACTGGCACTTTTTTTAATTGGGGAGATGACCTTACACAGGATCTGGGGTTAACCAAATTTCTGTTTTGCCAACTGAGGCCATTTTAAAAACATCCATCCACTGGCACCACTACTACACAAAATGAAAGCTGTTTTAATACCAAGAAAAGCACAAAGGCTAAACTTGCAAGATGAAGGCAGTCCTTTACATTTAATAAATTTAGATTTATGAAAAAGTTGCACTCTTGTCCTCATTTTTCTCTATCATCATGGACTGACCCCAGTCCTGCAGTTGGGGTTTGGGAACAAAGTACAGAGATCATTTTGTCCAACCTCGCTGTACAGAGGAGGAGTGAGGAAGCCCAGTGAGAATGAGTAAGCTGTCCCCTACAAAGGGACAGTGGGACCAGAGGCCGCAGGTCTTGACCCCTGCAGGGGCATGGCTCTTCCACCTCGGAATACCATCCCTCGTTATTCCTCCTTGCAGCCTCTTTTCCTGCTCACACAGATAGACGTCTGTCCTGAGTATCTAGAACTCATTCCTGATGCTGGCCATTTGCACATGTGCTTATCCCATGATACCTGAGTAACCATATCAAAGCCACTTGCGAGGTCCTCCCTTGCACAGGGTCAGCCTAGTTCAGGCACATTTTTCCATTTCCTGATTTTGCATGGCTTTTTAACTGTTTGTGTTAGCACCTCGGGTTATTCATTTCTGACGGATAGTGACCATGTCTTCTGTTTTACACTTATTTTGGGAGTGCTGATGTTGCTGTTCCAATACCTTGCATAGTTCTGGGAGCATTTTAGGTGATGAATGAATTTACTCATGAGAAGCTAACTTATTCCCAGCCTACAAAGGCTTCTTTATATGCCACTCTTTCTCTCCTTGGAAGCAGCCTCCTTGTTTCTGTGGGTTGAGTCTCCGTAGCCTCCGAGCCATGGGACATGGTTGCAGTGACAACATTCCAAACCATAAATCAGGAAACGCCTCTGAGTCTGACTGTGCGTATGGGGCTCCAGACCGAGATGGGGACTATCCTGGGAAACAGTGCAAATCGTAGCTGTAGTCCTGGTGGGCTCCACAGTCCCTGCTCAGAAACAGCTGTGTATTTAGAACACGGTTTCTAATGGTTTCAGACAAAATGGAACAGTCTTAAAAATGATTACCTTTCCCCCATCACGGTAGCATCCACAGTCGATAAAGGTATACCAGAACAAACAAACAGACATCGATTTAGGGAAAATTAAACCTGTAACAGGTAGAAGTAAATATAGATTAGAGATATACACAATTAGAAGTTGAAATAGGGCTCATCTTATGATGACCATTTTTATTATTTAAATAATGTAAAAATCTAGTCTTTCTGAAATTTATGAGTTATCCATAAATATTTTTTAGCAATATCAGTTCAACACCTTACAGCTGCTTTTTTGGGGGTATTTCTGAAGGGATGGTTATTGTTGCTGGTGGAATGCAGAGCAACTGCAGAGAAGACAGTTTTATTCCAGTGATTTTTCTACACTTGAGGCAACCTAATCTAAGGCAGTTTGGCCATCAGAGGTAGGTGAGGGCTATGGGTTTCCTTCCCTGTGACCTCACTACCAAGAGCTATATTACCATGAATCCAAGTTCTCCGATGGAATTCTGCCACATACGCAAATATTAGCAACCAGGCTTAGTTATGCAGCCTGTTCTCGTAAGCTTGAAGTCCTAACTTGCTGTCCTTTTAGGCCTGTGTTCTAGGGGCAGGACTCTAGGCCACCTTCAGGCTTTGGAGTTCTGCAGTCGGCCAGAAGCACTAGAAAAACCCTACTCCAAAGGGCAGTCGGCTGCTGGACTCATATAATCTTATGCTCTGGTCATAGAAGGACAGAAGGTACCTGTTCATTATTTCTCACTGTTCCATGTATCTTAAACACCTTCCATTTCACCAGTGAAAAATGATTCTAATATCCCTTATGCTAATTAGCATACCCTGGAGTGCCAATCAGAGAGGACAGTAGTTGACCCCTTTCAGGAGGTGGACACCCAATTACAGATTTTGAAGTGCTTACTAAAGACCTGAATAGTTATTCCTAAATAGAGCACTTCTGAGGTTAACCACCCCTAGGGCATAAATTAAAAGTAATTAACAGGCACATACATCACATTAAGTATTTTAGAATACATTACGAATGGTATAACAACACATTTAGGACAAAGCATGTACATCAAAGTGTCCACAGTGGTTTTTATTTGCCCATGAATGTTTATCGTAGCCAGATTTATTCTCATATTGCTGCTTATAGAAAACTAAAATAATTTGGAGCTTCTTAATAATCCAGATTAATAGTAAGGGTTTTCAAGTTAGCTTACAAAGAAATAAAAATACCAGCCAATGCCTATGACCAGCTACTGATGAAAAAAATGGAAATAAAAGTGATGTCGAAGTATCATTTATTCCTGGGTCCATTTTCCTTATTGGTTGTGCCCTTATGACTCAGGCAAGGATGGGATAAGTTAAGACAGAGATATCTAGGCCGTGGCAATCAAGCAATGTCCTAGGCCAGGAGTCCCCAACCTATGGTGAATTATTTCATTATATATTACAATGTAATAATAATAGAAATACAGTGGGCAATATATGTAATGCGCTTGAATCATCCTGAACCACCTCCCCCCTCCCCAGTCCGTGGAAAAATTGTCTTCCATGAAAATGGTCCAGGGTACCAGAAAGGTTGGGGACTGCTGTCCTAGACCACAGGTCAGCACACATTTTCTTTAACAGGCCACATGGTAAATATTTTAGGCTTTGCGACTTTGCATGTCATATGATCTGTGTTACAACAACTCAGCTTTGCTGTTGTAGTGCTAGAGAAGCCATAATAGTACGTATGTAAACAAAAGGTACAACCTGTGTTGTACCAATAAAATGTTATTTATCAAAACAAGCAGAGGGCAAGTTTGGGTCAGCAGGTTGTAGTTTGCCAATCCCATATCCTAGGCCAGTCCTGACTCAGGTTGTCACAAAGATTTTATAAACTTCCCAGTGATTTTCGAGTACCCCCCCGCAGTCAATTCCACTCCCCTCCCATGAACCACCATATCTACTCTTTCCTGTGCAGTAGCCTGTATCGTTCTTTATTGTGTCAACTAGGCTTTGACCAGACTCCTTGACAGCCCATGGCCAACCTCGAATACCCTAAACTTAATATACCAGCTAGAGGGAAATGTGCATTCATTGCCTTTCTTACCTGTAGACTTGTTTATGAGAGTGTTATCACTGAATGAAAGGTATTTTTGTTTATAAAAATGTATTCTAACTCACTTAACTGGGAAGTGAGTGAACAAAAGAAAGACAATAGGGAAATATAGAGTCGTTTGGAACCACCTGCTATAAGAGAGCTCCTGAGTACCTGTATGCAAACATTAATATAACTCTGACTAAACTATTGTCCCAGGCCTTCACTAGCTGGTCCCCAACAAAGCACACTTATGTGTATGTATGTCTCTTTCTCTCTTTGAATCTCTGATGACATTGCAAAGCTAAATAGCAAGTATTTTTTTGATAAGCACTTGGGTATTTCCTATGCTTATTCTCATTATTGTTATAAATAATTAATAAATTCAGATTAGATAAATAATTTTACAGATAATACTCTTGGTTTCCATTTGCATATCCCTTCATGCCAAGTAAGAGATCCAGGAGAATTTAAAGATAGCACTGTAGGTTTACATTAGTTTCCTATGTGGCTGTAACACATTTCAACACAGATTTATTCTCTTGTAGTTCTGGAAGTCAGAAATCTGTAATCATTGTCCGTGTGCTAAAGTCAAGGTGTTGGGAGGCCAGGTCCTTCTGGAGTCTGTGATGGGAGAATGGTTTCTTTGCCACTTTCCATGTTCTGGTGGCTGCCCGTATTCCTTGGCTTGGGGCCCCTTCCTTCATCTTCAGAATGCATCCCTCCAGCCTCTGCTCCTGTCATCAAATAACCTTTTCTTTGTAGCCAAATCTCCCACTGCCTCCCTCTGATAAGGACACTTGTGATTACATTTAGGGCCAACCCAGATAATCCAAAATAATCCCCCTATCGCCACATCCTTAACTTAATCACATCTGCAAAGTCCCTTTTGCCACGTAAGGTAACACTCATGGGTTCTGGGGATTAGGACATGGATACCTTCGGGGGCCATAATTCAGCCTCCCACAAGGTTACATAAAGTTTCTTATTAGTGGAAGAAAGTTTAGCTCTTCTAGATTTAATTTAATTATGCAGGGCTTTAAATTAAAGCTTAAGAATTCAGATTAAAGCATAAAGTGTTTGTGATTGTGTTGACAGATAATAAAATGTCTGATGATGCTGGTGACACCTTAGCCACTGGAGACAAAGCAGAAATTACTGAGATGCCCAATAGTGATTCTTTACCTGAAGATGCAGATGTGCACTGTGATTCAGCCACAATTTCAAATGACCCAATGCCAGCTGACCCCAGAGAAGAAGTGCATGAAAACGCAGCTGCTCAGAGTGCAGAGACTGCTGCCGCTGGGCACCCTGAGCAGCCCAGAGACACCAGTGCCATGGAGCCCCCTCCCAAGGGAGAAGTGACTGAGGATACACTTGCTGAGTGCATTGACTCTGTCAGCCTTGAGGCAGAACCCGGATCCGAAATACCCCTGAAAGAACAGAATGACCTGGTAAGAGTAATGCACTCGATTCATTTCAACCTGAATTCTTACTGATAACCACATGCAGAGCTTAGCAGCAAGCTCTGTGGGTGGGAATGGGAAGTTCAAAATGTATTATGACATCACCTCTATCATCAAAAACATGTTGTATAGTAAGATATATATGAGAATAATTTGTTGTAATATTTGCATTTTGATAATTGTGTTATTAACAATAATAACAGCCACCAATTATTGGATACAACCTGTGTGCCAGGCCCTCTGCTAGCCATCAAAGCTGGTATTATTACCCCAATTTATAGATGAGGCATCCGGGCTCGGAGATGTTAGCCTGTCCTGGCCTACTTGGTAGTAAATAGAAGATACTGTAATATCAGACTAATGACTCTGGATGATTAACAAGCCTGATTCAATCCTAAACAAGTCATTGTTTCTGTAAGACCACTTAAATTCTAATGCATATTTACAAATCCACTTTGGAGATCTTCACCATTTAGGTCCCTATTTTATCATCACGTCCCACCTTCCAGGGACCAAAGGCAAAGCACACTCATTGCTCCCTCCCCTCAGGGCCTGCACCTGTCTCTGTGGGGGATAAACTAGACCAGCATCTCTCCATTGGTACCTTGTACTACACCAGTACAACTGTCCCAGCTGGGTTTTCCTGGTGCCTTTACCTCCGGCCGCGTGTTATGGGCAGGGGTGGGACGCAGTCAGCATGAAAGGAGGAGATGGGCTGCCCTCCTCATCCTGTCTGGACTGGACTGCCTTCTTGAGTGATGGTACAGGAACGGGGATTTGGAGTCTGCCCTCAGCTGGGAGTTTGGACCAGATATGCTAAACATCCACAAGATTTTGTTTGTGAGTTCTGAGAGTTCACAGACCCTTTGAAGCCATCCATAGACCCCCTAAAAGATTAAGAGCCCCTAGACTAGAGGTTCTCAGCTCTCGCTGAACATAATAACCACTGGGGGAGATTTGAAACATACTGATGCCAGGATACCCATCCTAAGGATCCTGATTCAGCAATGGGGTTTGGACATTAGTATTTTTTTTCTTAGAAATCTGCCAACATTTATGGTTCTAAAAACATATAATTTTCTTGTCTAAAATCTCCAAGAGCAAAACAGAACTTTAGATTTTATTTATTTATTTATATTTTTCAGAATATTATGAGGGTACAAACTTTTAGTTAC